CTCTCAAATCTTTTGCTCAGTATCAGGTGCAAAGCAGCAAATTTGGCGGCGAACTATAATAGTAATGATAAATTGTAATGATAAATGTCTAATAATACTGCTAATATATTATATATTAAATATAATATATTAAATGCCTGTGTGCTGATCCGCAGAGGACGAAGACTACAGGACTGTTATTTTGAAGGCGACGTCAGGAGCCCAGATTTGATTGACCAATCAGAGGAAATGGGCGTTTTAGAACCGCCTACATGTGGATAATGAATTTTAAAGTCATTTATCCGTTTTCCTACCCTAAACCAAAAAAAGAAAATCGAGCCAAAATCAGTTATTAAATTTTTTTGTAGCCAAATAAAAAAACGAAAAACGGCCGTTTCCTCGTTTTTTAAATTTCGTTTAGGATCAAAAATCGAATGAACGCAACGTACACGGACCGGGCAGGCCTATTTATTTTATTATTTTTTTTTTTCTATGCTCTTTGAAGCACAGGTGCGTGAAGATGTTCTGTTGTTAATAAGAACAAAATGTCAGTGTTCTCTTTCAAATTACTGTTACGTTTTAATTACTGTTTAAAACCTTAACTGGACAGTTTCAGAGGTTTTAATTTTGTTTGGTTTTTTTTTTGCTTGTGCATGTGAAATATGCACACATAAGAGCAACAAAAATAAGCTATATTTATGGTGGCTTGAAAAGCCAACATACTGTTATCTCACGTAAACTTATTATTATTCTTCTTCTTCTTCTTCTTCTTCTTCTTATTCTTCTGAGACTAATTTTAAAGTCTATCTCCTCCTAACCCTTTCAAGCTTCATACCTCAAACTTTCGTCAAACCTTCAAACTGGTCTGACTCGGGTTGCTATATCTTTTCCGACTGATCCGACTTTCGGTTTTCCGAAAAACGACCCGGAAAATTCCCAAAATTCCCATTGACTTAACATTGGGTCAAACTTTGTGACCTCATAACTCTGCATCAGACTGTCCTACAGACTTCTAACTGGGCTCATTTAACTCAGTCTAGCCAGCAGCCAATAACTGATGACCTTTAAACTTACTAGCCACTCCCTAGCAACCACTTTTGGCACCCTAGCAACTGTCCCATAGACTTCCATTGTAAAAGACTGCCATTGACTTAACATTGAGTCAACCTTTGTGAGCTCATAACTCTGCATCAGACTGTCCTACAGACTAGAGTCAGGCCCCATTCAACTCAGTCTAGTCAGCAGCCAATCACTGATGACCTTTAGACTTACTAGCCACTCCCTAGCAACCACTTATGGCACCCTAGCAACTGTCCCGTAGACTTCCATTACAAAAGACTCTCATTGACTTAACATGGGATCAAACTTTGTGAGCTCATAACTCTGCATCAGACTGTCATAGAGACTAATGGCTGAGCTCATTTAACTCAGTCTAGCCAGCAGCCAATCACTGATGGCCTTTTAACTTTCTAGCCACACCCCTAACTACCACATACTGCACCCTAGCAACTGTCCTATAGAATGTAATTAGCTGTGCTATCAAATGCTTATAATTCTAACATGCTAATGACATGCCAATCATGCTAGCAACATGCTACTCATATGCTAATCATGCTAATGACATGCTAACTCATACTGGAAACATGCTAATGACATGCTAATTTGTACTAGAATCATGCTAGTAACATGCTAATTCAAACTAGACTCATGTTAATAACTGGCCTACATGCATATCTTTGCATAGCAGTGTCCTATTGACTTGGGGGATGGCTCATCTGACTCAGACAACCAATGAGCATCTCAATATGATAATGAAGCTCACAAGCCACGCCCCCAAATTGATTCCATAGACTTCCATTAAAATAGGCCAAGATGCATATCTTTGCATAGCAGTGTCATAGAGACATGGGGGTTGGTTCATTCGACTAAGACAACCAACCACATTCAAGTTCACTCTGTAACCTCGCCCATAGCAACAAAACAGAGTACCCTAGCAACCATTCATCAACAGCTATATCTCAGCATTAGAACATCGTAGAGACTTGGAGATTGGCTCGTTTGACTCATGCTAGCAAACGGAACTTCCTATATGCTACACATGCTAGCAGTGACTAGCTACATGCTAATATTGACTAGCCCAGTACTGTAACTTGCTAGAAATGCTTACTAAGTATAAATGTTTTATCAATCATGTATGTGAGGCTTGCCTAGTAACCAACCAGGGTACCCTAGCAACTGCCTAGCAACCACCCAAATTACCCTAGCAACCGCCTAGCAACCACCTAGCAACGGCCTAGTAATGCCTTAGTAAGGGCCTAGCGACCACTCAGGACACCCTAGCAACCGCCTAGCAACGCCTTAGCAACCACTCAGAATACCTTAGCAACCACCTAGCAACACCTTAGCAACCACCTAGCAACCACTTGGGACACCTTAGCAACCGCCTAGCAACACCTTAGCAACCACCTAGCAACCACTCAGAACACCCTAGCAACTGCCTAGCAACGCCTTAGCAACCACTTAGCAACCACTCAGGACACCCTAGCAACCACCTAGCAACACCTTAGCAACCACCTAGCAACCACTCAAGACACCCTAGCAACCACCTAGCAACGCCTTAGTAACCACTCAGAACACCCTAGCAACCATCTAGCAACCACTTAGGACACCTTAGCAACCACCTAGCAACACCTTAGCAACCACCTAGCAACCACTCAGAACACCCTAGCAACCGCCTAGCAACACCTTAGCAACTACCTAGCAACCACTTAGGACACCCTAGCAACCGCCTAGCAACACCTTAGCAACCACCTAGCAACCACTTAGGACACCCTAGCAACCGCCTAGCAACACCTTAGCAACCACCTAGCAACACCTTAGCAACCACCTAGCAACCACTCAGGACACCTTAGCAACCACCTAGCAACACCTTAGCAACCACCTAGCAACCACTCAGAACACCCTAGCAACCGCCTAGCAACACCTTAGCAACCACTCAGGACACCCTAGCAACCACCTAGCAACACCTTAGCAACCACCTAGCAACCACTCAGGACACCCTAGCAACCACCTAGCAACGCCTTAGCAACCACTCAGAATACCCTAGCAACCACCTAGCAACCACTTAGGACACCTTAGCAACCATCTAGCAACACCTTAGCAACCACTCAGAACACCCTAGCAACCGCCTAGCAACACCTTAGCAACCACCTAGCAACCACTCAGAATACCCTAGCGACCACCTTGCAACACCTTAGTAACCACTTAGCAACTAGTCAGAACACCTTAGCAACTGCCTAGCACCACCTTAGCAACCACTTAGCAACCACTCAAAACACCCTAGCAACCGTCTAGCAACACCCTAGCAACCACCTAGCAACTAGTCAGACCACCTTAGCAACTGCCTTGCACCACCTTAGCAACCACCTAGCAACCACTTAAAACACCCTAGCAACCGCCTAGTAAAATGCTAATTCATGCTAGAATCATGCTAACAACATGCTAATTCATGCTAGAATCATGCTAGTAACATGCTAATTTATGCTAGATTTATGCTAACAACATGCTAATTCATGCTAGAATCATGCTAGTAACATGCTAATTCATGCTAGAATCATGCTAACAACATGCTAATTCATGTAAGAATCATGCTACTAACATGCTAATTCATGCTAGAATTATCCTAGTAGCATGCTAATTCATGCTAGAATCATGCTAGTAACATGCTAATTCAACCACTTCAAACTTTCAGATTCGGCTTTTCAAGCCACCATAAAGTTTGTCCTCAAACTTTAATATCTAGTTAAAAAGTATTGCAGCAAATCATTCTTTAAGTTTTAATGCATTTACACCATGCTGAGCTTTCTGTGTTCTGTGCATTTAAGTTGCAGCAGTGTGTGTGTGTGTGTGTGTGTGTGTGTGTGTGTTTTGTGTCTGCTCGCCCGCCATGTTTGCTTGGACAAAAGTAAATCAACAGATACTTTATTAGAGATGTACGAATGCGTTCGATAATACAAATCCTATAAGCATCTTTGCACTTTTACATGTGCAACGACTTTTGTGACTTGCAGTTTAGCAGACTGGGGGTGACCGTATGTAACTTTGCTGTTTCGGCATGGAAATTAAATCCCTTTATTATCTGAGTACTGTAATTGCACTGTATGTAAATTTTTTTGTCTATGGTGATTGACTAGTTTCACAAATTACACCGAATCAGTTGCATCTGTATAGTATTTAGAGCTAATACCTGTGATTTATATTGAAACGTACACGGTCATAATAGGACTCTTTTGATTTGGACCAATGAAATAGCTGGTACAGTGAAATAGCTGATACAGTCTTTAGTCCGCATTGGAGAAAGGAATATGTGTGTGAGAACTATTTTTATTAGGGCTGCACGATATTGAAAAAATTTGCCATTGCAATATTTTATTTTCCTGTGATATACAGTATATTGTAATATATTATTTAGAATTTCACCAAATGATTAAATAGGACTATTTAGACAGAATTTATACTTACACTTTATTTTAAGGTTCGTTTCTCGCTATTAGCAAACCATTAAATATGACTTTTGCTTCAATAAACTCCTAATTTGCTGTTTAATAATATATATTAAGGTAGTTTAGATATTGGGTTAGTAGAATAAAATCATGAAGCATATGTAGATTGTAAGTAATAATAAGCAGCCCAATATCTCAATAACATGCATGCTAAAAAACAACTAGCTAATAGTGAGAATTGGTCAATAAAGTGTTGTCAAATGTATTCATTTTAGGGGAGTAAATCATGCATAAAATGTAATAATCAAACTACAAAGAAGTGAAATAAACAGTGCATGCCTTGTGGTTTTGTATGTTTAATTGTAAAAATGCACTGCAAAGTCAACTCATCATTGCATATGTTGTGATGTGATTATTGCGGATGCACACAATGTGATATCGATGCTGAAACTATATATTGTGCAGCCCTAATTTATACAATACTGTGAATTAAACAACATTAAAATCTTTGTTTTGCAGATTGATGAGCTACACAGAGCAGTATCTTGACTATGACCCTTTTGTGGCAGTACCAGAACCATCAAACCCCTGGATTAGCGATGATGCCACTTTCTGGGAGCTAGAAGCCAGGTATGAATACCTAAATTACACTTTTCTTCTTGTGAGTTTGGTTTGTAGGAAATGACTGACCTGAGTCCTGACCTCAATCTGATCAAACACCCGTGTGATGAATTGAAACAGAGACTGCAAGCCAGGCCTTCTTGTGCAACATCGGTGCTTGACCTCACAAATGTGCTTCGGGAAGAATGGTCAAAGATTCCCATAAATACACTCCTGAACCTTCTGGAAAGCCTTCTCAGAAGATTTAAAGCTGTTATAGCTACAACATTCTTTATTATACCCTATGGAGTAAGATCTGGATGTCAATAAGTTCATATGCATGTAACCCAAAACTTTTGGCAACATAAAGCGTTTGGATATTGGAATTGGGACAAACATTTGGCAGATCATTCACATGCAGAGAAATTAAAAATGTGTCCAAGTTCAAACCCTGTGGGACACCTGCTAACAAGGAAACAGCACCCGATTTTAGGTTGTAGAACACCTTTTACCAATTTTATATCTATGGATGACATCATTTAGTGTGTAAGTGTTGTGTTTTCATAGTAACAGTGACTTATCTGACATAGTGACTTATCTGACATAGTGACTTATCTGATTGGTGGATCTCCCCTCTGAAGAGTGACTATTGTTGTACCTCATTCTGAAATCAAGTTTGAAATCTGCCAAATTCCTGGTTATGAATTATATAAAACCACATCCTTTCTTGGCCTGATGCCTTGACAGGAATTAAGGCAAACTTTCCATGCACACACAAACCCATCCAAGTAATTCATTTCTTGGTTTCATTAAATAATGTGACTCTCTCATCACTTGCAGATGCAGATCTCAGGAAGATTAATTGACCGTTATTTATCAAATGAATTTACAGTTGTTGGAATTAGGCTTTTCAAAATGATTAGCATTCCTGTGGTGGATTACACATTGTTACTTATTCAAAGACTAATATACAAGATATTATTAGATGTGATTAAGTGATTGTGTGTACACACGTACAGTCTCTTTCTCTCTTTGTTTTCAGCTTTGTCTTGTTAAAATGACAAACAATGGCACATTGTGTTGTGAAAGCAGTAGCTGCTGTCAGTAGATATTGCAAAGACAATGCAAGCTTAATTAATAAAACACTCTTTATCCTTCATCTGTCTGTCTCAGTAAGGACCCAAGTCAACAGCGAGTAAAGAAGTGGGGTTTCTCATTGGACGAGGCTTTAAAGGACCCCGTGGGCCGTGAGCAGTTTCTTAAATTCCTGGAGTCCGAATTCAGCTCTGAAAACCTCCTGTGAGTGTTTCATTACCATTATTCTCCTGTTCTCTTTTCATTTGCACTTTTGTGACATTTTCTCCTTCATACTCATCCCTCCCTCTTAACCTCCCACACTGGTGTTTTAAGTAATGACTTGCACAAAACGTAGAAGAGTAGGACAAGTAAAAGGTCAGAGCTCAAGCATAGAGCGGCACTTTAAAGGGTTAGTTTGCCCCGAAATTAAAATACTGTTATTTTTTACACAGAGTCATGTCATGCCAAACCCTTAAGCCCTTTGATTGTGTTCAGAACAAAAGAGAATAATTTAATGAAAAAGACATTTCTTTCTTCAACAAAAAAGTCTGTTCAACCAAAATGTGTTTTAAAAATTTCAATGTATCAAGCAATTTAATTTGAGTCTTTTGAAGAAGCAAAAATTTAATTTTATTCACATAAACATTGATCAGCGAACACAAACAGAAGCTCATAAATGTGCCATAAATGAATGAACCTTATTCTTTGGGCATTTGCCTTTTACAACATATGCCATAAATGTTTGTATTTATTTAAAGGGCGATGAAAATCTACTTGTGTAAGCTGTTTGGACAGAACTGTGTGTAGGAATTGTGTGTTCGCTGTCGTATTGAAGTGATATAAACCCAATGAGTCTCTTCTTTAAAAATTGACTGACGTTACAAATCCCAGTGATTTTGTGGCCCACCACAACGTGACATAGGAGTGCGGTTTTCCCGCCCACCGAATTAATTGACAGGCACCATGTTTTTGTAATAACAAATATACACATGTCCACAGAACATTTTTTTAAAATAAACTCTACTACAAATACATCAAATAAACTTACTTGGCATTTTTGACTTGTTACGTTATTTCAGCTTCATCCATGACTGTTTCTATCACAGATGGCTGTTTATCTAACATAATGCATGAGAAGCAGACATGCATGTTGGAGTGGTGGGGGGGAAGAAGCAGCTCATTTGGATTTAAAGTCACAGGCTACAGAAATGGCTACATTGTGATCAGACACCAAACTGGGCAGATTCTACATTAAATAATAAATAATTTGATGGGTATTTTGAGCTGAAACTTTACAGAAACATTTTGGAGACACCAAAGTCTTATCCTACATCTTGTAAAAAAGGTAAAATAGGTGCCCTTTAAGCAGACTTAATTAAATAAATGCATTCATATCCTTTCAGAACATCTGGATAAAACCACTCAACTCATAAGGATTTATTTTTGATCTCTTCATGAACATTTTAAAGTTTTGTGTAAATAAACTTTTGACAGAGGGACTGAATGTTCTTAGATTGGAATAAAAATATTATTTGTGTCATTAACAAGTTTCTCTGGAACATAAGGGTAAATAAATGAGGATAAAATCTGCATTTTGTTGTAAACATGGCTGATTTCAAAGACTACGCACAGTCACTAATCATTACCACCTCCATAAGCCTGTCACTGATGCATTGCAATAAGCTACAGTAAACCACAGACGTCGTGGGGCAAATGAGGCAGCGGTGGCCCCCAAGAGATGCCCAACCAGGACAGCGAGGCCCCAAAGGGAACTGCAGAGATAACGCAGGTCACTGAAGCCGTAAAGTGACTGGGCAAGAGATAAAATGCTGCTTGTCTCCATGCATCTCTCATACTTCTCTTTCTCTCCTATCTCAGCGTATCCCCCAGCTAGGCATCTAATAGCCTCTATGGGGGCTGTCTTATGTTTGCCAGTCTGTGAGGAGAGTGAAAGTGATGTGTCCTCTTGACTGCCTGACTCTCCCCTGGGCCCATTAGGGTCTAAACCACTTCTACACCGCAGAGATCTATAGAGCTACAGAGCAAGTGTGAGACAAGAGTGGAAGAAGTTCTGACCGATTGCTTTCCTCCATCTATCTCTCTATCTATCTCTCTCTATCTGTCATGGCAAGCTCTGAGCATGTACTGACTTCCATAATTAACTCTGGGTTTGTTGCTCATGAGTTTGAGAATGCCATTGCCATCAGCATTGTTAGCGGGGTCCAGAAGTAACACTTGCCAAGTGCTAATTGGGAGTAAAAATTGGCTTTAGGGAGTGAACTTGGCCGTGAAACAGCAGCGTGATGCATGATTTATATCAGATTGTAGAAATAATAGTCTGCCTTTCGTTTGTTTACCATAAAACTGATGGTAACTTAAAGTGTTTTTTTTTGTGTTGTAAAATAGAGGGGGTAGAAGATCAAAAATGAAGACGAAGGTGACTTTTACTCAGTAAAACATTATGACGATATTTAGCTGATGTTTTGATCCTTTAAACTGTGGTAATAATAATATAATAATATTAAATTAAAGTAATAAGAAAAAAAAAGAAAAAAAATACCTGTGGATCTAATTTTTAATATTTAATCTAAAACATTAATCACTGATAATTTAATTCAATTGAAGTTTATTTGTATAGTGCTTTTTACAATTATTAGTATTTCAAAGCAGCTTTACAACAGGTGCACATTATTGCATTACAATCAAATTTAGTTATAAGTTGCAATCAAATGTAAGTTATTATATACAGGCATAGTTAACCTGCAATGTTATTGCATATAGGTGATGTCTATGTGTACATGTTTAATGAAGTGCATTTGTGTATGTGTTGTCCTTGAAGTCCTCAATGGCATCATCTCTTCGTATGACAGGAGAAGTGTGTCCTACAGGTGGTTTGTCAAGCCCACTAACCTGCATTGAGCACACTCATGCATCATACCGTTATGTGATGCATTATGTGTATGCTTTACTAAAAAGATAGGTCTTCAATTTCTCTGAGCCTTGGACATTATCAGAAAGGCTATTCCAGAGCAACCATGTATAAAAACCCTCAAACTCCACATGTAGATTTTGCTATTCAAAGTACCACCAGAAGCCCTGAATTTTGAGATCTTAAAGAGCGGGTTAGACTGTAGCGAGACAGAAGATTGGTTAGACAAACAGGAGGTAGATTATTTAAAGCTTTATAGCTAAGAAGCAATATTTTATTGTCAATATGAAACTTAGCTGGCAGCCAGTGTAAGGAAGATAAAATTGGGGTGATATTAATCACTGATAAAGATTACAGCTTTATTGCCTTTAAAAAGTAATGTTGGTCAAGAAATATTGACATAAATAAATACGTTAGAAATAATATAATGTGCAATTGAAGTAAAAAGAAAAATATACATGTGGATCTAATTTTAAATATTTATTCTAAAAAATAAATCACTGATAATTAAATTCAATTGAGGTTTATTTGTATAGTGCTTTTTCAAAATAATTATTGTTTCATAGCAGCTTTACATAAGGTGCACATTATTGCATTACAATCAAGTTAAGGTATAAGTTATAATCAAATATAGGTTATTATATACAGACAAAGTTAACCATAGCCATATATGAAAACCCGAGACCTCCTTTAGTAGACTTTGCTATTCTGGGTACTACTAGAAGAGTTTTGAGATCTTAAAGAGCTGGTTGGTCTGTAGTAAGACAGGAGGTAGGTTAGATAAACAGGAGCTAAATTATTTAAAGCTTTATAGGTAAGAAGCAATATTTTATAATTAATACAGAACTTAACAGGCAGTCAGTGTAAGAAGGATTCAAATTGGCGTGATATGGTCATATTAAAAACATTAATTACTGATTATTAATATAGCTTCATTGTCTATAAGAAATAGTGTTGGTCTAGAAATATTGACATTAATAGTCAAGTGTGTATGCTTTTTTCAAGAATATAAGTTTTGTTGTCAAGTTCTAGTCCAACATTTAATCATTCTGTAAACTTGGAAATAAAAAATCTGTTCAACAAAATTAAATAATGTCGTATTGCTCAAAGGTCTGGGGCTGAAAACATTTTGTATGATTTTAAAAGAAGTCTTATATGTACACTGTGGCTGGTTTAATTTGATTAATATACAGTCAAAATATGAACATTGTAAAATATTACCATTTATATTGAGTGAACTTTTCTAATTCAATTTAAAATGCAAACGTTGCATTTTAAGCAGCTAGTTGTCAGAGTAAGAGTCATTTATAAAGGACAGTAATACGTTGATTTTCTGAAAGATTTCTTATTAGTGTCAAAAATTTGTTATTTTTACACCGTTATTTTTGTGTTAATTATTTGATATATATTTCAGTAATAAAAATCAGAATATTAAACACTTTCTCAGTCTAGTCATCTATTGTATTGTTTTGTCTTTAGATTCTGGTTGGCGGTACAGGATCTGAAGTGTCGCCCCCTGCAGGAAGTGGCGTCTCGTGCTCAGGAGATCTGGCAGGAGTTTCTTGCCGAGGGAGCTCCAAATGCCATCAATCTAGACTCACACAGCTACGAGCGCACTAGCCAGAATCTCAAAGACCCAGGACGCTACAGTTTTGAAGATGCCCAGGTGAGCAAACTGGCACCGCAAGCAACACATTTAACAATTCACATAAATCTTTGGGGCTAAATAAATCTCATGCCTAAATAAATATATGAGCTAAATGACATGATGTAATGATAACATACTAGTAATACTGTAAATGCATAATATTTTTGCAGACGATTGATTTTTTTGGTTCTTTGATTGAAGGAATAATAATAAAGCTGCACTTAGGGACAAGTTATGCTCGAGGCAGAGTCTTTTTCATTTTTTGAAACGATGAAAGAGGAACTTTCATCAGGGCTTCGGGCACTTCGAGGAGATTGATGTACAATAATGCTGATGGATAATCTGTTCCTTGTCCTTGTCATCATGGCTCTGTTGAAGAGAGTTTGCCTTGTGTCAGTCTCCTTCATTCATCTGCATTTACATGACTGATGAAAGAGACAGAAAAGCAAGCATTGAAATCCTCAAAGTCAGGGTGAAATGGATTGTAGAAAATGTAAAGCAGAATAACTAAGTAGTGTGTTGCAGAATCCATGACATGGAGTCTGTCAAGTAGATTAGGCTTTACTTGAAAATATTGTATAATGAAGAAAAAAATGTCTTACCTTGGGTAAAACATTACTCGGGCTGCTGCTGCTGCAAGATATGCAATATCAGACATAGGTTGTCTTTTCCCCTGGGCGAAAGTACAGATTCATTCCTGTTTGCAAGTGTGAAGTCAAGATTGAGGACAGGACAGAAAGCTCCTTTTTTAGAAGATTCATTCTCATTACTTTGCAATAAGGTGCTTTCCTTTCGCCCTGGCTGTGGTTTGACTGTCAGCCTCCAATGTTTTTCTCTTTCAGGACCACATCTACAAGCTGATGAAGAGTGACAGCTACCCTCGATTCCTGCGCTCCAATGCTTACCAGGACCTCCTGCTGGCCAGAAAGAAGGTTAGCCGCTCTTTTAAATCTCTTTCTGCTGTGGAGAATAAATCTGACTTATATTTCTGCATTCTTTTTTCACATGCTGACTTGGTAAATTGGTTAAACTGGTCTAAATGGAGATTTTCTGTTAAAGTGTTTGTTCACCAACAGAAGTCAATTCTGTCATCGTTCCACATCATCCATCCAGAGATTTCAGTCTCTTCATGTAAAGTCTATTCACAAAAAAGTGCTGACACTTCAAAACGTTCATCAAAAAATCACATAAAAATAAATATTTTGGGGGGTGAACTAACCCTTTGTGTTTACGCTGATTAAAAACATGAGGAAAACACCTGTGAAAAATGAATACAGACAGTTAAACCCTGAACACTGAAACCTGTTTTACTTAATGTGCTGTTTTTAGAGTGAGCCTGACATTGACACCGCATGCTAATTGTTTGCCAATTCCTGAACTGAAGGATTTCCTCTCCTTTTTCCTCAACCTCACTTTCAAATGTGTTCAATTGGCTTTAATTACAATATACTAAGCTACTTACTCTACTGCCAACTTGTAATAATGGATAAACATGGGCAGCTAATTATGTCTCGGCCCCTTTTTCAGATTAACATACATTTTCCTGAATGTTTTTTTTATTTTTTTTATTTTTTGTTTCTTTACTAACACATGTTAACCTGTCACTGTATCTTCCATTAACTTGGGCTCCGCAGCCTGAGACAGAGCAAGGCCGTCGCACATCCCTGGAGAAATTCACTCGCAGTGTGGTGAGTGACACATATTGTCTAGAAAAACTGTCTCACAGAACCAGGCTTTTTGGAAGGTTGTCCAATTTGACCAGAAGAAAAAAAAAAAGTTTTTTTCTTCATTAATATGTAGGGATCTAAAGCATTCCTTCAATGTGGTCAAACATATATATATATATATATATATATATATATATATATATATATATATATATATATATATATATATATATAAAATATTGCAATAACATTTCACTATTTTACACTTTGCACTGTATTTTTGATTAAATAAATGCAGCATTGGTGAGAAGGAGAAGCTTATTTTAAAACATTTAAAAATCCTACTGACGACAAACTTTTGACCAGTCGTGTAGATATATATTTTTATTTATATATATTTTTATTACACATCTATGATTTCACCCATCCTATCTCTGTCCAATATGTACGTTTATCAAGACATATCTAAAGTATAAATTAATAATTAAAAATACTGTAATTTTTTTTACACATGTACTGTTCAAATGTTTAGTCCGAGTACAATTGTAATGTTTATAAAACATGTCTCTGACAATTATGTCAATTAAGTGAACTATAATTAAAACAATTAGTAAATTGTTAAGTTAATTAAATTAATTAAAGTATCCAGCATCAAATAAGCATCAAAACAACTTTTCTTTTTTATATATATTCCTATGAAGGCAAGATTAATTTTAGCATCATCACTTCTGGTTTCAGTATCACATGATCATTCAGAATCCATTTTAATGTGCTGATTAGTTGCTCGAGAAACATTTATTATTATGTTATTTTTTTTGTAGAAACCTTTGTAGTAAAAAGGTGTAAAATTGCAGATGCTTTTTTTTGCAGTTTTTCAGGATTTTTTGGCAGATAAAGTAGTAAAGATTTGCTGTTCATTTGTTCTTTCATAACAACTGTCACTTTTGTGTGTCAGTGGTAAATAAAAGAACACATTTTAAGGGGAAAAATTACAATATTGACTCCAAACTTCTGAATGTATGGTATATGAAAAAATGTTGAATTTGCATTGATAGTGGCAATTACTGAAATACAAAACCACAGTATATATTTAACTGGTGCTCTTAAGAAAAACAACAACAATATTTAATAACAGTATAAATGTGTTTCAGGGCAAATCACTGACAAGTAAACGGCTGACAGGCCTCATGCAGTCCTCCTGACGAGTTCTGGCTTCCCACAAAATGTCCACAAACCTGCCCAGAAACTGCAGTTTGTTGGGATGGAATCTCTGTGGCCACGTCGGGTCACGTGTACGGACCACCCTCTCTCCAAAACCCACCCGAACAGCGCACAGCTACCGACTCTAGATGGCAGCATGCAATAAGTCCAGAAAAAAAATCTCCAAACAGCGACCGTGTTGTCTGTGTCTATTAAAAAGACCACACACATGAATGTCAGATGATCTCCCAGTTCCATCTAGAGAAGCATTATACATTTATTTGATACCTGTAACCAAACTACAGCAAGCACAGGACTGACTGTCTGACTGGATTTCCATTTAAAAAAAAAACATTCATCATCAGATCTGAAATTGGTCCGGATAAGTTTCCAGGTGAAGCAAGGATGTGTCTCAAATCTTCAGAGCATTCCAAAGGAGGGACGAAAACGACAAGGGCTTTCAGTGAGTGTCGGTCAAGCTTTGCACAGAACTTTTCATCGAAAAACTGAATACGTCACTGAATATGGAAGAGAAATGGGTTCGGAAAAGCACACGGTTCTTACTCCTGCCATTTGAAGAAAGTCGAATTATTTATTATTGTGCGTCTACAGGCCATGTTATACTTAACCATTAGCGTATGATATTTTGAACTGAGGTGAGGATCATTGACTCTGTTGTATTGAGGAATGAAAGAATATCGAGAAGAATAACAAAGATTGTGGTAGTGTTTTTAGGAGGATTTATTCAGAGCACAGAAGATTGCTTTTGCACAGACTGCAGTAGTGACGAGCACTGGACCCCAGAGATGCCAGTTCTGATTGGTCGGTGTGTTTTCTGAACAGCTTTACAGTAAGATGCCCAAAAAAATAATGATATTTCATTTAGGACCAGCTATGGAGGATCCATTCCAACAGCTAAGAAAAGAAGGCATGATTTGGTAAATAATTGTGACATGATGTGAAGTAATTATGAGATAAAAAGTCAAAATGATGATAATAAGACTGAACATGCAAAGTCAACATTAAAAGATTAAAATAAAAATGATTATATATTACATTATTATAGTATGATATTTGAAAAATTCTTAGATTTTATGATATTCTAACTTAATTTTTCATAATTCTGGCATTTTGTCCTGTTAGGATCTCCTTAACATTTTGTTAGGATTTAAAAAAAAATAAAAAAATATATTAAATATTTAATAAAAAATATGATTTAGCATCTCATTTCTATGAATTTTGTCTCACATATTTGTGAATTATTATTATTATTAGCATTTATAAAAAAAGCTATGAATTAATTGAATTATTTAATTTTAATAATGAATTCAATTCATCTTTATTTCTATAGCGCTTTTACAATGTAGATTGTGTCAAAGATGCTTTACAGAGAAGATTACAGTAAATTGAAACAGTGTCAGTTCAGTTTTCAGAGTTGAAGTTCAGTTTAGCTCAGTTCAGTGTGGTTTAAATTTCACTGCTGAGTGTCCAAACACGATGCGCAGCTCCACAAGTCCCAAACCAAGCAAGCCAGTGGTGACAGCAGTGAGGAACAAACTTCACCAACTGACGAAGTGAAGGAAAAACAACCTCTAGAGAAACCAGACTCAGTTGGGCACGACTATTTCTCCTCTGGCCAGACTTCCTGTGCGGAGCTGTGGTCTAGTTACTGGAGGCTGGAGAACACTGGAAGTCCATCGTGCAGATAATATGTTTATATAATTTGATACATTTAAACTTGGCTTTTAAACTTTAATACTTTATATCTCCTAATTTAAATGATAAATTTGACATTTTTTTATATTTTGTCATAAATTATGACCCACATGTCTCCTAATTTAGACTTTTCATTATAACTTTGACTTTGTTTAAAATAATTAGTTACTAGATCCCTAATTTTTATTTCATAATTATGACTTTGTATCTATTAATTAGCTAATTGTGTCTCATTATTTATCTATATGAATTTATACGTTTCGTCACCTTAAAATTATAAGGTTCTGAAATTGTTGTCAAAATTGAGTTTATCGCATATTCTTATTAAATGACAACTTATTTACATTATGAGATGTTTTTTATAAGTTGTTCATTTTTTAAGACTTTTTATTTAAATGTTACACACATAATGTTTGCTATGGAATGCAAAAACTTTAAAGCTCAAAATCCTTCAGAACGCAGATAGAACCTTATAATTCCAAGGTGACGATTTATAATCGTGAGTATTTGAGTCTTTCATTTTCACATTTTGACATAGGCATGGGCCAGTATAGGATTCTGACAGTATGATAACCTATGATAAATAAAAAATATCATGGTTTCAGGGTATTGTGATCACTGCTCTAAATTTGATTCTTTTAAAATGTCTGGGTAAAAAAAAAAAAAAAAAATTCCCGCTTTGAACACGTTATTGTGAGAAAATATTTTGAAGCAGTAAACATGTCAGGCTAGATAATGAAAATCAATTATTGACTTCTGCTGTCTTCATTAGTTTCAAAACACAGATTTTTTTTTTTACAACTTAAATCGGCATCTTTGAATATGTTTTCTGCTGGAGACACTGTTGTCCTAACAATAAATAAAAAGAAAACAAAATGTAAATAAAAAAATCTCACACATAGATACCTTAGGAACGGTATAGCAGAAAATTTGGCAGTTTTAAAACCTTCACTTTTCCAAACCGCGATATACCTTGAAAACCATCCCATGCCTATTGTCTCATTATTTGGACTATTTATCTGATCATTATAACTTATCATTTCTCTATTTGTCTCATAATTTAGACTTCATGTCTTATTATTTCCACTTTATATGTCACAGTTATCATTTTTCAAAGCATGCACTTTTTTTCCCCTGTGGAAACAGCTTTTCATAAGCGTCTGATATTATTGTACGTTAAAACCCATCATCTATGTTTGTCTTTGCTTTAATGTATGTAATTGTAAACTCAATGTAGAATGTAAGCATCTAACTTGGTTTAGAGTCTGTGTAGTGATTAATAGAATGATGATATTCTGAGCACAAAGATGAAGATTACAGCTCGTCACTCTCAACATATCAACAGCGGACGATGTGGAATACATGTCCACCGGAAAGTCGCTTTACATTACAGGACAACCAAACCGCATCTCAGTATTTTTCAACGCTTACATTGTTTCCTGAAGCAGCATCACTGCCAGAAACACATAGATTTCAGCTGCTGGGACATTCATTTAACCAGTCAAACTGCAGAACAGAAATATGTGGCATGTTTCCTTGACACATTTTCAGGTAGTTGACGTATTGACTCATAACTGTACATTAGGTTGAAACAGAATGTATAGACTTTGCAGCAATCCTGGATATGGAAGGTGCTGTGTAGAAAACCCGAACGAGAAATATAACTTAGAGGCACAAGTGCCATATTCAGCACAAAACTATGCATGGAATATTTCTAAAGAGTTTTACTGCTTTTAGGGGTTTTTCTTTTTTTCATTGACACTTGTTGAGGATCAAGTAGGCCAATATACTGGGGAAAAAAAGGACCTGAAGACATTCAATAAACATACAGTTTGGAGAATGTTATTCTTCTCTCTCTCACTCTTTCTTTGCATAAACGTGTATTTTAGCTTCAACTGTGTGATGGTCCATTAAACATCTATTAAAGCTTTGTTGGATTTAGCAATACGCATATATAGGCACATGTGCTTCAGTAAGCTCAATTTGACTTTAATAAAGCTAGTGGGATAAAATGAACTGAGATCAGCACTAAATCGCATTATAAGAGAAGGTGTCGCCTGTGAATGTGTATTTGCTGCTCTCTAGTGGTAAGTATGAGCTACAATCAGTTTTTATTGTGAAATCAGAAAACTTTTATTACGTTTTACATCACAACAAAAAAATGGAATGACATGAAAAAAGGGACTATAGAAATTACATATATATAAAAAAGTACAAAACGATTCTCGCGGCATTAAACAGTCAACACAAAAGCAAAAACACAACAGTACAAAACGTTTTCTCTATTATAGGTGACTGCTTTACAAGAAATGTCATTCATTTGTTGTCCTTTTGGAATATAGTGGAAAATAGCCGCTGTTTATATTACAACCATTGATGCTTGTTTTGGTATAATGTAACTAGCTTATCTTTTAACCCTTCGAGCGACTCTTCTGCACTGCTCAAATTTACTAGCCTTTTGTTATGTTAGGGATGAAAACATAAACTGAATTAAACTGTTGTACCTCAGTCCTGATCAAAACTACTAAATGCTTTTAAAAATGACAGGATTTTAACTTTAATTGACTTTTGTTCCTTAAGTTCCTACATGATGTTAAAAAAAAGATGTATTTTCAATATAAAAAGTAATTGTGGGCTTTTTTTAAGCTTTTATTACAGTCTTGGACATTAACAGTTAACAACATTTGCTTTGATGAATTGTTAGATTTTCATTTATTTCTCCATAATTTACTGTTGGTGGTGCATAAACAAACATCTGGTGTGCACATTTGATGGTGCATAAACACACAGTCTTTGTTTTTATTTACTCCATATAGTTCTGAGAGCTGACATGCATATTTTGGCACATCAAGGTAAATGCGCAAATGTCACTCTCACACACTCAGACACACATACAGTACACACACTTTAATTTGCTCTTATACACCATATAAAATCCAAAACTAAGCTTTTATTCTGCAAAGGCCTAACAGACGATCAACAGTAAAAATTATAAGTTTTACCTCTTCCCAACTGGTGTTATGGTTTTGTAATCAATCATATGTGGTTATAATGGAAGTCAATGGGGCAAAAACAGCCACCAACAGTAAATTAGGGAGAATTTTTTTTTTACGAATCAAAAACAATGCATCAAAGGCAATGCTGTTTCACATGTCCTAGACTGTGATAAAGCATTAAAAAATCAAGTCCACAGTTACTTTTTATATTGAAAATATGTCATTTTGTGTTTTTTTTCCTCCACCAAATCAGTGACATTATTTATGAATTTGGCAATTATTTAAAAAACAAAAATTTAAATCTTGTAATTTTCTAATTAAGTTAGCATTTTTGATTAACAGATTTATGCAAAAAAAAAAAAATGCATTTTTAATGCATTTTTACAGCAGTTTAATTCAGTGGATGTTTTCATCCCGAACATAACAAAAGCATAGTAAATTTGCCCAGAGTGTATCACTGAGTTCTTTTCAAAATCCAAAACATTTTCTCAAAATTTGTGTCAAAATAAGATTTGTCACCAAAAATTATTCAGCTAGCTAAAACACATAAAAGGTTATGGCCAAATGAAGACACAAAATCACCCCAGAGTGGATGAAAACATCCCCAACAGTACAAAAGGGTAAAGTTAACTCCAGGCATGACACATACAAGTGCCCAGAAAAGAAACCAAAAGCATTGTCAAAACGTTCCATGACTGGTTCAACTGTAATAATATGAAGCTTCAAACACACATTGTTTGCAAAAAACAAAAAACTGCAAATAAGACATGTTCTCTCGCGTCAGCTTTGTTTGCGTGCACGTTTACTAAGGAAAATGTGATGTATTGCCATTAAGCTGCGGTCACACTGGAATTTCCTCCCCTAGACTTCCATTCATACGCATGCGAATGTGTTAGACCAGAAACGCAAGCTTGTGCGACAAGTTTCGCAGTTCACTGCGTTGGAAAACTTGGTGAGCTCTGACCTGCGAAATTGCATCACATGATTGCGTGAGAGCAATCAAAGATCAAAACATGAACTCTCTGGACAGAAATTTAAAACATGGACCAATCGCTCTAATCATTAAAGGACTAAATAAAGTTAAATAAGTTCTATCTCTGAACTTTCATAATCTATATAAAATGCTGCACTTACCACCTCCAGCCGCAATGACTTCTGGGATTTCTAGAGCGAGTTCAGTGCTCAAGTCTGCATCCATGCGTCCTTGATATCAAGAACGCATCAGGAAACTTCTACGCATCCTCCATTCTTGCAGTCTTGAGTACTGGAACTGAACTTTGGCAGTTGATCATGACGTTACATGAGAACACGAGGACGCAAAACCGATGAAGAACGCATATTTAAAAAAACAGCCAAACTCTAGTATGACCGCAACATTAAAGTCAACAGTGCAACCTGCAAGCGTCGTGTTGCCCGTAGTAAACATGCACGATTATCTGATGGGACAACAAAATCGTTTTTACAGTTTTTGGCATGTAAAAGCATGGTCACATTGGACCTTCTGAGAATGTTTTTAGTTTCTTTTCTAGACTTCCAACATCTCATGACCACTGCTGTCTATGAAGGATGAGGGAGCTCTCAAATTTGATCTAAAATAACTTATTTGTGCGAAAAATGATGATGAACGAAGGTCTCAGGGGTTTGGAACAAAATAAGGGGTCGTAATTATTACAGAATTGAAAAATGTTGGTGAACTATTTAACCATTTTAGGGCACTCACTGAAATACTTATTGGAAAAACCCTGGAGTGTTAGGGTTATTACAACACTTTTAAACATTTATGATAAAAAAAATACTGTAATCAATGTCAATGAAGTGACCATATAATCAAATGACCAGTTATAAGCATGAACAGCACCTACTTTGCTGAATATTCATGAGCTTTCCAGTCACAAATGTCTTTTCTTTACATTTATGGGGAAGAAATACAAAACTGATACCAAACACTGTAATAACATTGTAGAAATAGTACAACTATAAAGTAAAAGTCTATTCTGGACAAACCGAAAAGTACACTGAAGAATGTATAAACCCAAAATATAAACAAGATGGGCCGACATTAAAACAAGGCGCATGTCATATCAAAAAAGAAAATGCTGTTGACCAGGACTTATAAAACCATTAGTAACAATTACAAAACTTTAAATGAACAAACATGGAAACTATTTGATTTGGGAAGTGCCTAAAAACATTTTAGCCGCTGATATACTGCTCACTCCTTTTTAATATGAATTTTTTTGAGGACGCTAAAGGAAACACCTGCCAAAAATGTAGATGTAATGTTGATGACCTTTTGAAACAGATAAAAAATGCATAGCTAAAATATTCAGCAGATCACAGGATCTGGAGAGCGCTGATGAATTGGCTCTGAAAATAGAGCCTCTAATGTATTATACAGGTGAAGGAGGTGGGAATGACATGAGAGAATGTCCAGATGGAAATAGAAATGCTAATATATCACGAGCAAGAGAAATACAGAATGGAGTGAACAGATGTTTCACTCAGAGAGCTATGAAGGCCATGGAACAATAGATGCGAATGTTCCTGGAGCACAACCAGATCTGTCTGATACAACATGACATAAAGAGTCAAACAGCCTAATGCATTCACATTTAATACGCACAAAAGTGTAAACCTAAAAGGAAAAAAGCAGGCTTGCAAAGGTAATACAAAGCATGCTAAGAAGGAAAAGCATTACTTGTTTAACAGAATATGATGATGGCTATCATGTAAATTACCCACCACACGATTGTCTGCTAAATTATATATATTTATACACACAAATAAAAAACACTCAACAGCATTATTTCCAGTCCTGATGAAATCGAATCTAAGTGCTTGGAAACTTTTTATTTTGCCATTTATTTTAAAGATTGCTTTCACAATAAGCTAGCTATACTAAGCTCTAATGCAAGGGTGTCCAAACTTGATCCTGGAGGGACGGTGTCCTGCATATTTCAGTTCCAATCCCAGTTAAACACACCTAAACCAGCCAATCAAGCGCTTTCTAGGTACTAGAAATGTGTTGAAGGAAGTTGGAGCTAAACTATACAGCACACCGGCCCTCCATGACTGAGTTTAGACACCCCTGCTCTAATGTCTACCTGAATGATGATCTTAGTGTAAAAAAAGAGATGCGCTTCTGATCACATTTGTCCTCTTTTTATAAAAATGGTTTCTTGATGCAAGCCAAAAATGTCAAGAAATCCTTCTGGCTTCCAGATCGCAGACATTAAAAAACACGATTAAAGTGAAAGAAACTCCAACTAAAAGGCTAATGCTTCATTCCACTGTCTCTGGGTAAGTGTGTGATGCTTTTTAAACATTTACACACTGTAAAGAACTTGTTTATTAACAGTTTCTTGTATAGGTAACACTTTCTTATGATGGTCCATTTGAGTATTAGTAGGCTGTCTGCTTAATATCTGCCGATACTGCTCCCTTAACAGACATTTAACTGACTATAAGAAACTTTGCAAGTACATGTCAACAGTCTGCTTATAATCCAATGAGAATTAATTGACATATAGATGCAATGTATCAAACGGACCATCAAAATAAAGTGTCACCCTTTTATTTAGTAATTTTCTTTTTCTATTTTGAATTGCATTGTAGGACGTTGATCTCTTGAATCTTTCACAATCTTCATAAAAAAATAAACACTTACACATTAGCCAATAATCACCAAAACTGACACACTATGATACGATAGCACCATCTACAGTCAACATGAAAGACAAACCAAATCCATGTGTCCTTCATGTCAAAAGTAGCACAAGCACTCTTGAATACGATAAGGAACATAACACGTTTACAGTCTGAGAGCTGGCATTGCATCAAGTGTAGTCAGAATGACTGTTTATAACAGGCTCTTTTACCTTTAAAGGAACACTCCATTTTTTTTTTTTTTTTTTTTTTTGCAAATGGGCTAATTCCACAAGTCATCTCGAGTTTTACCATTTTTTTATGCATGCAGGCAATCTCTAGGTCTGACGAGAGCCATTTTAGCTTAGCATAAATCATTGAATCGGATTAGACCATTGGCATCTCACTCCAAAAATTAACAAGGTGTTTTGATACTTTACCTATTTAAAGCTTTACTCCTCTGTAGCACTGTTCCTTTTGTTGATAAAATTTTTTCGTCATAATTTTTGTGTCAAACAAGTTTCTACAGATAAAAACTAAATAAAAATGAAGTGATGTCGATGACTTTAATAAAAATATACTGACATTTTTGTTGACTAATAAAAATGAGACAAAAATGTGATTGAGGGACGTATTTCAGTGAATATCCAATCAGAATGAATCTAATTACGCACACATACTGTACACATACATTTGAAAAGTAACTGTTCCACAGTAGACGTGGGATGCGATTACATCACCTTTTATGGGGCGTCTGTCTGTCTGATCAAACAATAATGGCATGTCAACAGCTGAGAGAATAAGAAGATTCATTATTTGTATGTTTCTATGTTTTATTTGTATAAATAAATGTATACAATATTTTAATTAAATTACACTTCAATTAAACCAAATATATTTTAGGCTGCATTTACACTGCAGATCTTGATGGTGAATTCCGATTTTGTGACTGTATCTGATTTTTTTTGGTGACCTGCTTACATCATCTTTTTGCTACTCCTATCCGATTGTCTGCATTTCCACTGCACATGACAAAGGCGTAATGACCAGGAAAAAAAACGAGCGGGCGCTGACTGACAGCTGATAATAAAAGAGCGCTCCTTTCTGTATTTAACCTGTTCGTTGGGTTTCATTTAAAATATAGATATATTTTTGACAAGTTGTTTTACTATAGTTATGGCAGAAAAATTCGCATTTGGCCATCTTCTTTTAATCTAAGCCTTTTTAAACCAGGAAGCATTTTAATGTCAGGTCCATGGCATGATTTATGCATGTAATGTCTGCAATAGTTTTATATTAGTTTATATTGGTTACGTGGCGGATATTGTGCTCTCTCTCTCTCTCTCTTTAACATACTTTAATATGTATGCTACAGGTATATGACAATATAAAAGCTATAAAAGTCTTCTTGCTTTTTTTATTTTATTTTATTTTTTTAATGATGCGTAACTTGCATTGCTTACACTGCAGACACGAGGGCACAGATCCGATTCATATCGGATAAATTTCCACATATGAACAAGGCCTGAGTCTGATTTGTGTGAATCGGAATCCATGTGATTTTTTCCTGCTTACATATACATAGGCCATATCTGATCTCTGCCACATGGGAGAAAAAAATCGAAATTGAGTCACTTGAACCATGCAGTGTAAATGCAGCCTTAGGCTAAAATCCTATTAAATTTAGCTGACTAAATCTAGACTAAAACTAAAATGATTCAGAAGACTAAAATATGACTAAAACTAAAATGGATTTTAGTCAAAAGACTAAGACTAAATCAAAATTTGCTCTCAAAATGAACACTGCTCTGTAGTTATAACGATTTATGCTAAGCTAAGCTAAATGTGCTCCTGACAGACTGGGAGACTTGCTGAATGGATTAAAAAAAGGATAAAACTGTAGGGGACATGTAAAGTGGGTCTTATTCAAAAGACAAAAGTGGAGTGTTACTTTGAGTAGAATCTCTGTGCTTGTGACTGTTTTAGAAACAGTGTTAGAATCAAGAGATTCTGTGTGTGTATAAGAGGTTGACTTCGTTCAGTGTAGTTCTTGTGCTGATGATGCTATTTAACAAAGTACCTTTTTTTGTGTTTTACAAAATGCAACTCGTGTTTCTAGGTGATCGGACAGTCTGGATGTTTGCGAGGTACAGTAGACTACCGATTACCCAGATGTGTTTGAGGAAAATGTTTGTACCACTGAGGTAGAGGAAGACTCCACACTACAGGAGGAAAAACTACAAGGCTAACACCCATCCTGAGTCTGCTGTGCGTCTCTGTGTGCAGAACCTCCTCACGATGCTTATGGATCTTCAACACCAGACGCTTTATCCTTAAGCAGATTCTGGCACAGATGACAACTCCAACTTCCTGTGAACCAAACAGATAATAAGGTAATTCATATCATACTGTGTGTTCTTGCATATAAGTTTCATTACTGTTAGGGACAAGTTTAGTTGTATGGTTGCGTTTAAGCATGAGTGTACAGTCGACATCAAAATTACAAATAAATGTACTGAACAGAACTGTCATTACAGGTTATTAAAAAAAAAAACAAGTACATGTAATACGTTATCTTCTTTGTGTCTTTTTAATGATACAACTGAAAATATGAATATAATGAATATGAACTAATGTAAAGCAAAATGATTGTTACATTTAAATGCATTAAAGTGTGTTTAGTAAAATGAATATGTATGGCTTTAAGCACGATTAATGTATGTCGTGTTGGCAGTGCAAGTATCTTGTAAAAAACATGTCAATTTAAATGATCCAATACATATTTGCATGTGATCACAGGCCAGGTGTAAAATATGACAATCCAATATGCTTTAATGCTTTACATTTCAGATGCCATTTATTATGACTCGACTACATTAGTTAACATAAACTAACCATAACAAAAACTTTAAAAGCTTTTATTAATCTTGATAATTATAATTACAGTAATTACTTAATTAGGGTGAAGCTGTGGTGCAGTAGGTAGTGCTGGTGCCTCACAGCAAGAAGGTCGCTGATTCGAGCCTCGGCTGTGAGAATGGGTTGCGGCTGGAAGGACATTTACTGTGTAAAAATGTGCTGGATAAGTTGGAGGTTCATTCCGCTGTGGCGACCCCAGATTAATAAAGGGACTAAGCCAAAAAGAAAATGAATGAATGAATTACTTAATTACTCACAGGGCCATTTATATCGAAGTTGATATTTAGCTGCACCATATTGGTGTTTCATAACATTTAGTTTTTCTGAGGTGAGTTGTTAGCCCAATGCTCAACACTGGAAGATCAGTACATACACATATACACCACAGACGATTTAACTTACTCAATTGACCTATAGCACATGTCTTTTAACTGAAACTGGAGCACCCGGAGAAAACTCACACCAACACAAGGAGAATAAGCAAACTCCACACAGAAATGCCAACCGACTCAGCCAGGGCTTGAAACAGTGACCACCTTGCTGTGAGGTGACAGTGCTAACCAATGAGCCACCATAATAATTCTGACAGCTGTTTTTATATATGTATGTATGTATGTATGTATGTATGTATGTATGTATGTATGTATGTATGTATGTATGTATGTATGTATGTATGTATGTAAGTATGTATGTATGTATGTATGTATGTATGTATGTATGTATGTGTTTGTGTATGTATGTATGTATGTATGAATGTATGTATGTATGTATGTATGTATGTATGTATGTATGTATGTATGTATGTATGTATGTATGTATGTATGTATGTATGTATGTATGTATGTGTGTATGTATGTATGTATGTATGTATGTGTGTATGTGTGTATGTATGTATGTATGTATGTATGTATGTATGTATGTATGTATGTGTGTATGTATGTATGTATGTATGTATGTATGTATGTTTTAACTAGTTGCTGTGAGCTGATCTTACCCTCTGGTGGCTGTGTCATAGGAGGTTTAAGGCAGTACATGTGGTATCCCCGATCACAGTCATCACAGAACAGAAGCTGATCCTACAAAATTAAAAGGGCGTCATCAAGCTGTTAAATCACACGCTCTCTCCCTCACACACACACACACAAAGCCAAAATGAGGAAGCCTGCAGAAACATGCATATTAGCTGAACGTTGTGTCAGTAATAATAAAGGCACAAAGGAGTGCTTTGAGAATCTTTTCTGAGATGTTGAAGATAATGTAAAAGAAGTGTCTTTAAATGCTTGCATTAGGGTTTGAAGACTCACATCATTCTCAGAGGTGCCGCACAGACTGCAGGATTTACACTCGATGCACTGCCACTGGTAGGTTCGCACAGCCTGCATCATGTTGTCTGTGAACTGCAGGCATGAAGGGTGGCCTGGCAAGAGAAAGATGAACCGATAACAAACTGATGGAAAGAAGTCTTGCTAAATTCAGTAAATTATTTAATTATTGTCCAAAATACTCAATTATAATTTGCTGCAGTTTAAAATGAACATGAATCCTCATAATGTCATGTGATTAATCATTAGACTATAATAATTGACGTGTCTTATGCAAGTGGTTAGATAGACAGACAGACAGACAGACAGACAGACAGACAGACAGACAGACAGAGGTAGATAAAGCATTGAATAGTAAGATAAAAATGCAATGTTTGCAATATGTAAATGGTTAGAGAAGCTAGCTAGCTAGATATAGAGATTGACATAAATATGGATGGATGGATAGTAGACTTTTTAAATAGGTTGATTGATAGGCACACAGACAGAAACATAGACAGTCAGATAGAAAGATTCATATACAGATAGACAGATAGATAAACAGACAGACAGACAGACAGGCAGGCTAACAAATAGACTTATAAATAGATCAACAGACAGACAGACAGACAGACAGACAGACAGACAAAGAGACAGATATACAGACAAACAAATAGACATGAGTAGACTTATAAATAGATTGGATAGGCAGGCAGACAGATATGTATAGAAACAGACTAATATAGACAGAGACAGATGGAAGGATGGATGAATAGATAGACGGTGAGACAGAAAAACGGATGGATAATAAGTAAAGAAGACAGAAGTAAATAATGACAGACATGAACAAAACACACATTCTGTGTTGAACGTACAAACAACAGTCGTCCCTAAACAACTCCACCTTCTGTTTTGCCCTCCACACACAGAGAAAAGGTGAGTACAGTTTTGAAAAATGCCAGATGGTTCTGTAACCTCTCATGTCTGTCTGTCTGTCTGTCTCTCTCTGTCTGTCTTTCTTTCTCTGAGAGAGGTGTCAGATCCTCGGCCTGCTCACTTCCTCAGTGATACTGTGATAACAGCAGGCTCCTCTTGCATGGATGCCCAGTAAAGCATGTGCAGTCTTCTCAGCTTGGAAAGCATGTTGAGCCTTGGCTTGAAGTGGGAAGTTATGCGAAGCTCTTTCCCTACAGGGAGTTTCATAAGTGCTGCTACATCGTTCTTCTTCATGGATCTGTCCCTGCTATTCACATGCAGAGCTATGTTGAGTATTTCATGCCAACATTTAGGCATCATACCGATTGATTTATTCCCTGCAAGTGTAAGGAACCATGCCTGATTTTACATGCAATATTTTGAGATTTTTAATCAGAACAAATCATCTTGGCTAAAACACGCTAATCTTGGGCTGTCAGTGAATCAAATAGATGTCTAAGAATAGGCCAAAACTGGTCATCAAATAAAGAGAAATGAATGACTACACACATAAAGTCTGTCTAATCTGTCTATTTGACGACTAGTTTTGGGCTACTCTTAGATATCTATTAGATTTTCACTGACAGTCGAAGATTAGCCTGGTTTTAGCCAAACGGTCTATGTTTAGATGTCTATTAGATGATAAACACAAAATTGTTTGCTGAGCTATTATGCCCCTTTCTACAAGATGTGAAGTAAGTCTCTGATGTTCAAGTGTGAATGTGACGTTTCAGCTCAAAATACCCCAGAAATACTGTTTTCTAACACTTTAAAACTGCCCCTTTTAGGCGTTGATCCAATTTGTGCGGTTTTGTTGACTGTCACTTTTAATTAAAATCAAATATGTTCATTTGTGCATCCTAAAACATTTATAATGTTGCTGACATTATCTTCAGCAGGTTAAAACTCCAATGGTAAACAGCTGCTTCTCACTCAGGGCTGTTTATGCTAATGAGGGAGAGAATAGCCCCTTTCACACAGTGATACCGCTTAATATCTGGTATTTTTCCGGAACGACTCTAACGATAAATAAAAAATTAAAATAAAAACGCTGTTCACACAGGCAAAGACATTTTGGAATTTTTCCAGAAAAGACCATCACACATCCATTCCTAAATACTGGTAAATTCTGACGTCATAAATCAGAAATGACCTCTAAACCGCTGGGCTTGAATTTGTAAACATAGAAGGGGTCGGGCTTTTGTTGATGGTTTCACTTTTATTTAAAGCTTAAGCATTCATGCAGCTGCTTTGTCCTTGAGACATCCAAAGGCAGAAGCAAGAATCACAGCTAAATGTTTACACATTTGACTACTTTACAAACTCTGTGGATGGATAAGTATTGTGAACAACTTTGATGAAAACATATGGAGGAACACTTTCACATATCACATAATGTGTGTGTGCGCTCACCGGAGCAGTCCTTCACATGCACACGAGTCAAGCAACTGAAGCAGAGCTTAAAGGTAAACAAACAGCGGTTTATCATTAGCATTTTATCGATAATTTTTACACAGTTGGCATGAAGAAGGAACATAGAAATGTTATCTGACTAGCAGCTAAATGTGTCTGGAAAAATATTCAAAAGATTTTATTTTCATAAACAGCACGGATGTGAATGTGTCTGAATGTCTCATGTCAGCACGTTCTAAATGTGACGCGCTCTATCTGGCAATTTTCCATCTGCATTCACACAGAGCTGCATTCCGGGAAATTACCAGTAATGTTACAGCTACTCTTTCTGGACGAATTTACCTGTATTGTCAAAAAAAGGCCTGTGCACACATAATCCCTTTTTAATTACCTGGAAAGGTCTGTATGTGTGAAAGGGGCTATTGTCACCTGTGGGCGGGGCTTTCCCTCTCTGATGACATTACAAAAGGAAGAAGGTCAATCAAGGTGTTTCTCTAGAATGTTTTTATCTAGCGTGATTATAAAAAAATAAAATTAGTTCATTTTTACTATTAGAGGCTGGCAACATTTACACACTGTTTCTGCACAACTGTGTTTAAACCACATGTAAAAGTGATTTTTGCATAATAGGTCCCCTTTAGGTGTACTATTTGCAATAATGTTCTCTTAGTTGCATAGAAACGATAAGTAATAATGGTTCCAATAATCACTTGGAAAATGGAAAGTCATTTCATAAATATTGTCCAGGAAAACATAACAGCAGTTGGCATATATTTAAGAAAGAAATATGGCACACATTTCCAGCATAATTAAAAATAATATTCAAATATTAGTTTACTAGGTTTTAAAAGGTAAACAATACACTGTTGTTTTGTTGTGCAACATGTTCATGGGAACTCAAGGGGGAACTGATCTCATATATTCACTTCAATGATCCAATTGTAAATTGCTTATAAAAGATCTGCATACTTTACTTTGTTTGATATAATAACATGTACATTTTACATGATAATCAAGTATTTAAAGGTACTATTTGTTCTAATATTTCTGTGAAACAAACTGAACTCAAAGAATAATTCATAAAATGTAAAATGTTTAATGTTTTTCAGTAACAAAATCCAGTGAAAGACTTGCAGGCTGACATTTGGAGTAACAGGACTCAGCAGCGACCACAGCATGGATGGCAGGTTGGATGAAGCGTGTCTGTCTGTTTGTGTGGTTTGTGCCACAGGTCTGCATGACACAAAAGCAGTTACAAGCATCATCTCTTCCGATGTTGCCCTTTGGCTTCGTGTCGAAAGAATGGAACGTCAAATGTTAAACATCAAAACATTTTCTTCAACTTCAGACATTGAAACACTGGGAGAAAGAGCATCGGAGATGTTACAGAACAACTGGTTTAGCCTTCAACCATTTGTGGGCCTATATACATTATACAACATCTTAATAAATTATATTATTGTTTTCCAAGAAAGAAAAATAGAGACATGGAGCCCTGAAATAGAGACAGGATTGAAAGCATTAATGCGGAACATGTTTCAATTCAAAAGTGACACATGAGATCACCATAACAATAAATAGAAGAGCCTTTTAAAGAGCAAATATAGCTGATTTTGTTCGTAGAAAATGGATGCAATGAAATATCCCCATATTACCTGGGTGATGATGTCCCTGTGACTAATGCGTATTGTGCCTTTTATTGCATGTATTCTGTTTTCTAGTTCACATTTACTGCATTTTATTTCTTTTTGAACATAGGAAGCTTATGTGCTTGCAGTCCAGTGTATTATTTGCGATTACACGTACACAGTCCATCCTCAGAGCTGGATCTCTTAACGGAGGTGAGTGGTCCAGATTTTATTTGCGAAAACAAAGCCTTCGTTAGAATCATTGCACGTATGCTACAATTGTACCCTTGCTTGTACCTGTGGGTTTAAGGAGAGTTTCCTGAATAGTAAAGGGAAATTACTCCACAATATGAGTCCGTGTTCTTACACAACACTAGGGAGAGGCCAAGTATCATGTATCCTCCAGCAAACTGATTTTAATTTTCTTTGTTGTTGCTGTAGCTGTCCTGAGAAAGGAGGAGAGATGGACATTTAAATGCCAACTGGCTCTTACCTCTCGGCAAACTGGATCCAGCCAGGGCTTGGCCTCTGCTTTCTTGTGATCCCTTTCTTGGCAAATATTGTATTTATCCAGAGGTAGGAACAACAACACAAAAAAAACCTTCTTCGCTATCCGACCTACAGACACAAGTTGAGAATTGTCTCCTCCTTGAGGTTTGAAATTCTTTCATTTCTAACTATAAATTTTCCACATAGTAGGCATTTGTATCTTACATGGTGATGCGTAATCCACACATTGGTAACGTCCCTGCAATTTTCCATTACGGAAAACAAACAGTCCAGAAGTAAATGGCTCCTCTGTCCCATAACTAGCACCTCTCGGTATACAGAAGATTGAAGCAAATAAAAACAACATTCCTTAAGTTATAAAAGGCTGCAACTTGTCCTTTGAAAGCAATTCCTGAAGTGTCTGGAGTTGTGATTCCATTATGCATGCTGCTGCAAAACAACAGGGAACAAAAAATAGGAAAAAAAAAAAAAACAGGCAGCAGACACATGCCAAGAGTTTGTGTGATGCAGGTTTTTCCTTTGCCTATCTGTACTCAGGTGAGCCTGTGCTGTCGTCGGACAGAAGCCCGTTCAGGTCGTCCTCTTCAAAG